GGGGATTTTTCCTCTTGAGCTTAGTTCACCTTCGTTTTCTGTGTGCTTTTCCTGAAGTGCTACTAGGTCAACTTCGTTGTCTTTTAAAAGTCTGTGCAGGATTTGACATTTTGCCCTGCTTATGCCTTCTATGTTAAAATGGCAAACTCGTATACTTGGTCCGAGTTCTTTGGTCAAATGGTCCTGAGAAGGTCCGTTTACAAGTGTCATTTCTGGAAATATTTTCTGTGATGATTGAATTGCCAGGAGATTCAAGATTGTCTGGCGCCTTTTGTGCTAGTTCATTTAGCGTTACCCAGGGTAACGCTACGGCATTGTAGCCGCATGTCCACATGAACGGCATTTTTCTATTTTTTCACACGTCCGACCGACTATAAATTATTCCACGTTCGCCGTCGAGCTGCACTAGAAAAAAACAAGTCACTACAAGTTGCTGTATCTGTTTCCACTCAGACAACAATATGTTTATGTTGCCTGTTGTTGCCGTATTTCTTTTGAAGTTTACCGCTAAAACTGGAAACCACCAACAATCGCAAACATGCAACATTTGTTGTCGAAACAAGAAGAAACACTTAGGAACTTTGAGGAACTTTGCGAAACATTTTTAAGCAACAAGCAACAGAAACACAAAAGTTCCTTCATGTTCCTCTGGTGGAAACTATACTTTAGGCCGAAATACGTATAAGCGGATACATAGACGCACTATACCTGAAATCAAATCTTATCTGTCTTTTCCTTTTTATTCCGATTTTCTGATTACTCTGTAAGAGTACTAGAAACCAATTCGCTAAGGAGTTTTGCTTAGATTCCCCATGTCTCTAATAACATCTTTATCAACGTCTGTTTTGCCTTGCAATTCTTAGAAGGCACAGATTAAAGCAACAATCTGAATTTGGTTTCGAAAATTAGTTTACGAATTTTAATATCAGATGTCGCTATTTGCGTCAATTCGAAGCCATGTAAGAGTTTCTTCCTAAGACAGAAGGGATGTTTTTTCACGTTCAGATAAGGTGGGATGCTTACTCGAAACCATCAAGAGCAACCCAGTGCTTTAATTGTCAAGAGTTCGGACACTCCGCCAAGAATTGTTACAAGTCACCACGGTGCATGAAATGTGCACTAAACCACCAAACCAGGAATTGTCCCTTACCTAAAGGGAAAACCAACAAGGTCAAGTGTTGTAATTGCCTAGAAGAACACACATCAAATTATCCAATGTGTAAAAAACACATTGAATATCTTGATAAATAGACAGTGAGAAGAAACAGAAGCCAACCACAGACGAAGACGGCGCCTTCACCGCCTCATCTTTCAGCATTCAGGACCACTGTCAGCGGGATGTCTTACGCACAATCCACTAGAGGACCACAGCAGCCAACAGTCAACACAAACGAAGGAATCAGGAGTGCCTGGGCTGATATTAACAAAATTGTTAATGTCAGCCCAGGAAGGATTACAAATTATGATGGATTTAGAAAGAGAGAAGCTCCAAACAATAGAGGTGTGGCCATCTATGTTAAAAATTACATAGAGTGGAACCAAGTGATTATCGAAACGAATTCGAAAACTTAGGAGTCAAAATAGGAAATACTAACATCTTCTCTATTTACAGGAAAAGTTCGGACTATCCAGCTACTGAAAAATTAGATGCCATGCTAAACTCAGCACCAACCGTCGTATTAGCAGGAGATTTCAACTCCAAACATGAAGCCTGGGGATGTAGTGTAGATACAAGAACTGGTACTGCACTACTAAAATATATTGAAGACCAGAACAGGATGTTATTCGCACCGGATGAACCAACGAGAATCAGCCCTAGAAGAGACCACAACAACTCTACGTTGGACTTTTTCATCACAAAAGACGTTATTATAGAAGATGTGAGGACCTACTTTGAATGCAGTTCGGACCACAAACCAGTTTTAGGAAAGATGACATCAAGAGCAGACTTTCCCACCATAGAACCAGTCAAAAGATGGAGATGGAAAGATGCAAACTGGCCAAACTATAGAAGACAGCTAAACCAAATTGAGATGAAAAGAGAATTCCAATCTATTGAAGAAGTAGGAGGAAAAATCGAAGAAATTACAAGAAGAATACAACAAGCCATGGAAGACAACATCCCTAAATCAATGACGAACAACAAAGGATTAATCATACCAACGGAACTTCAGGATATCATAAAGGACAGAAATAAGGCCAGAAGAGCGTTCCAGAGGACAAGAAGACAGGAACTCAAGGAATACGGAGACATACTATCCGAAGAAATAAGAGTAAGACTGAAAAGTCTTACTGAAAAACCAATGGCAAAATGCTGAAAGCCAAAAGAAGAGGAAAACAAAAGATGCCACAAATCATTGACAACGAGGGAACACACTACGAAACCCAAGGAAAAGTGGATGCCATTGCAAGAAGATTAGTAGCTACACACAGACAAAATCAGGTCATGTCGGACGCAAGAACTAGACAAGAAGTGGATGAAGAATACGACAGGATAAAAAGAAGAAACGAATTCCTAATAGAAGAAGAAGACTTCACCAGCCCATACGAAGTAGCAAAAATCATCAGAAGACTTAAAGGAAGCAGAGCACCAGGACAAGAAGGAATCCACAACATCACCCTCAAGGAACTCCCAAAGAAGATGATAGTACAGTTGTACTATATCTTCAAATTTTGCTTTGGAAAAAGGACACTTTCCAAGCAACTGGAAACACGCGAAGATAATACCACTCCTAAAACCTAGGAAGTATGGAAGAAGACTGGAAAGTTATAGGCCTATTTCTCTCCTAGAGTCAATGGGAAAAATACTGGAAAAAATCATCTACAAAAGACTGATGAAGCACACGGAAAGAAGAAGAATTATCCAAGAAGATCAATTCGGATTCAGAAAAGGAAGAAACTGCGAGCTCCAATTAGCGAGAATAATGAGCGATACGAAGATAAACTTCAACAGGAAACAAAAGACAGGACTAGCCATACTGGACATAGAAAAAGCGTACGACACGGTTTGGAAAAAGGCACTAATCTTCAAGATGGACAAAGCTAGACTTCCGCATTACTTAATCAACATATGTGACAAGTATTTATCTAATAGAACATTTCAAGTTTCAGCTGAACAAAAGATGTCAACACTTCAAGATATTCAGGAAGGAATGCCTCAGGGCAGTATTTTATCTCCAATATTATACAATATTTTTGTTTCAGATCTTCCAACAGATCCAAGAACTTCAACAGCCCTCTATACAGACGATAGTATATGCATCCGGAAAAGACGACAGACGAGTCATCAGAAACATGGAAAACCACTTAGAAAAAATCACGGAGTTCACAGAAAAATGGAAAATCAAGATCAACGCAGAAAAGACACAATTCATCATGTTCACCCAGGAGTACACACCACCAGTCAACGAGATTATAGTAGGAAGAAACAGGATCCACGCCACAGAATCAGTCAAATACCTAGGAGTCCACCTCGACAGAAAACTAAATTTCCGGATACATACAGAAAGAACAAAGGTAAAAGCCAATTTAGCTAAAAAACTAATACTTCCCTATATTTTCGGGTCCAGCCCACTAACGAAGGCCAAGAAAATCCAGTTGTACCAGGCCTACGTTAGATCGGTGATGTTGTATGCAGTCCCAGTTTGGAGTTCAATAGCGGAGAGCCACTGGAAGATGTTAGAAGCCACAGAAACGGCATACTACCGGATCATCGACGGAGCATCATGGGAAGATAGAATATCGAACGCAACCATCAGAGAAAGGCTCCAGTATACACCACTGAGGGAGGTGGCTGAGAACAGGACCAGATACTTCTTCCACCAGGCCACAAGAAGACTCCTTAAGACCAGGGACATCCTCGCGAAGAACAGGATCCAGAGGATGTATAGAGACACCCACAGACTGATCGACCATCTGATCAGGGTCTAGCCGGATGGTTGCCGGAAAACAGCTAAGCAGGGAAGTAGGTACGATGCCCTAAAAAGTACCTACAGAAAAAGACGAGGAAACCACCTAGAGAAGTCCAGGATGACGAGAGGGAGAAACAATCAGAAGAAGATGGTGCAAGAGCGGGACATCAGTAAGAAAGAAGGCAAAAATTTTTAAGTTTGACATGTTATATATTATTAGGCAATAAACGTTTTTATTTTTATTTTTGTTATATCACGTTCAGAGCGACTATGTATTGCCGTTCTGGAGAAGCCTATTAGGCTGAAATATGTATGAGCGGATACATAAACGCAGTATACGTGAAATCAAATCTTAACTGTCTTTTCCTTTTTAACATTAAAATATACAACCACAGGAAAGAGCTCATTCGATTTTCTATGGTTCTTAATTTATTGCCATAAAAGAAGGCTTTTCTATCTTCTGTTTTCATTACCCTGAGAACTTAGTTATGAATCATAAAAGATCGAGTAGAAGTTTCTATGATAAAATCTGCAAGCAAATAAATGTTAATTTTTAGGAAAATCCCGAGATATTAACCAGGTATCCAAATATATTAGATTTTTTGAGAAAATTGCCTTATTTAGACTATTGACAGACAACAAAGTAATGACCTCAGATAATGACAGAGTAGGTCCATCTTCCATCGAGTATTTTCGTGTTCTGTGTTCTGTGTGTTAAGGTTAAGGATGTGTGATGTGTGATTAAAAATGACACTTTAATAATTTATTGTCTTATCTTATGTATCCTATCAATACAGATAAAATAAAAATTATGGTTATGAGAATATTGAGAAATATTGAATATTTTGGACTTTCAACTCCATTCTGCTTCATTAATTAAGCTAGCCCATGTGTAAACAAAACCTGACTTTGATATTACTGAGTGCGACGAAGACAGTAAATAGTAGAAAGTGGGAGATGACACATATAACTTAATATTTATAAATTTTGAATAAAAGCAGAACAGTAATTATTTTGATATCGCGTAGCTGTAGTATTATAATAAATTTTAGTTGAGGATATTGCCTCGTAAGACGCAAGTTTATAAAAATGTCATACAAAAACAAAATCAATCCTGATCTTGTAAAGGAAAGAAAGAAATGTAGTTTTAATACCTTAGAGCTAACCCATTTAATTGATGGTGGAGTGGAGAAAACTAATGAAAGGAAAAGTAGGGGTAAGTTGTAAAATTTAAATAGTTTTCCCCCTATATCAGTGAATACATATTAAGCTATATATTTTTTATGTTTCTGAATATAAGTTGTCTCCAAGACATTAATGGTCCATGTATAACTGTACTTTGACTTTTGATTGTAAATTCAAAGGTAAAACTCGTTTTACAACAATCATCATAGGAACAAGAAAAGAAATAAATAAAATGACAATTGCAGATATAAAAAGTTTATAATTACAAAAATTGGAAAACAAACTATAAGGGTTTATGGAATATGGTCAAGAATAAGGGACAGTTTTAAACTTAAATGTACATTTTATATACAGGGTTATAACTATTCTCCACGAGATCATGGCTATTAAACCAAATATGCCTTTATAAAGTAATGCTGTTCAAAAAAATTTCGTCTCCTAAGTTGATTATTTTTGGTTCTTGTTTACTATATATTTATAAATTATTATTAACACCTTAGCTTCATTCAGAGATATTTATAAACTTGAGTTGACTACATTATGAACCAGCCTTCACCATAGTTCGCTATGACCCATATGTGTGTCTTAAATGTCAAGGCATTTAAAGGGTGCCTGTGTTCCCAAAAAAAGATATTTTATTTGTTGTCAAATTTTTATTTAATATAATATTCTACATTTACATTATTAAAGCAGGACTGAGATACAACTTTCTTATAGTAATTTGAAGCAGTAATTTTTTTTCTCAATATTTATTATAAAAACTGATCAAATAGTGTAAGTATTCAACAAAATAATTTCTAAAATTAACATAAAAACAATTGTTCTAGCAGTAAACATATTTTTTTATGTGCTTCATTGAAGCATGCTTGACATAATGCAGGTTTGCCATCACATCCACATTCAGCTCTGGACTAAATTACTTTGTAGTTTTTCTTCTGGCAAGTTCATCAGTTCTTTCATTATTGTGTATTTCCTGGTGACCTGGAGTCTAGATTTTTGTCTAATTCCTCTCAGCATTCTCACACCTAGAATTCACGCCTAGAATTCACCTTAGGGGTTCTAAGAGCCTGTATGACAGCTTAGATAACTGTCCAACTATTGATCTGCTTCAGTTCCAAAGCTCTCATGTTAAATTTTTCTTGCAAAGTACAATATTGCATAAAGCTCTCTCTGGAATACAGAGATAATTCTCCTAGTCGAATTGAAATGTTTGAATTTCTATCACTACTGCACCTAACCCCTCTGCAGTTTTACACCCATCTGTATACCACATATAATATATACTTAGGTAGTATTTGTATAGAATAGTTTAATATACCTATCAAACAAAAATTTAGAACAAAATAATGTTGAGTACAAGATGATTTTTGAACTGAGGATCAAAATATAAATAATGATCTGATGAAAATAATAAAAAACATAAGGTTCTAATAAAGAACATAACTGAGTCTTTACACATAGCTTGAGCATTATTATTAACACGAAAAGGTAAAACACTGAAACAAAATAAACCTCTATTTTTCACAGAAGAAGCAGTTTTCAATTTAGATTTCTCATCTAAAGGAATCTGATAAAAAGCCTGTTTAAGGTCAATAGATGATATGAACTTAGCCTCTCTGACTTTGGAAATAATAGTATTAATTAAAGGCATTATCAGTAACTGTAACAGAAAATTTAAAAATAATGATATTCATATACTTTATATTATTGTAGTTTGATGTAATAATCGTAGAGTAAATTAAATCATAAATAAACTGCAATGCTATATGTTATATTTTTATTACAGAATCCTTTTTTCTGGATGACGCTTCACTGCGATCAAAGGTGCCTTTGGAATATTTAAGTCATAAAGAAAAATATGAAGAAGCTGTACGCCAATCCTGTCTGCTGTTTAGAAAAGTTCAAGAGCTTCAAAATCAGGGAAAAGGAGGCATGGACAATTTCAGGTAAGTGGAATATTTTGTATTAGAGTTGTTCTGAAAATGTTTAGTAGTTTTCTTCCTCATTATGCTCATGTAGTTTTGTTTTATCAAAAAAAAAAAATGAAAATATTTAAAAATAAGTAAAAACATTGTTTTTTTCTCTGTCCTTGATTATAACATTAATATAATAGCGCTAATTGAATTGCATATAAGATACATCTGGTTAAAAATGTTTTAATTTACCCTTGCTGCAAATAGCAATGTATCTGAACTTAAGTTTCCAAGGAAACATTGAGTTGTACCAATAAAGCAAACATTAGTCTCCAAAAAATTTAAAGATAAACAAATTATTATTGATCCAGCACTAATTTTCCAAATAATGACAACTGTGATGTAGTCGTGGTTAATATGGTTATCAATGTAGATGGAAGTTCAGACAGCGAAGATTTTCAATAAAATTCTGATAGCAAAAACAGCAGTTTGATGATATTTGAATATTTGAATAAAAACTGATAAGTATATTCTTATAAGCTTGTACTACTATCATTTAAAACAATGTATTTTACCTAAATAGCTTTTTATTAACTTTCTAATTTAATAGACTTTTGTTAATTTTAATAATTATGACGAATACTTCACCTAATAACATATTTTATCAATTAACTTAAACAACTGCTTCGATATTTGTCCTCTCATAAATACATTATAAAACCATTACCGAAATTCTGGAGTAATAATTATTTTACAGTTTAAAAACAAACCTCTAAAATAATAATTGATTAGGCAATGTCACATAAATGACCCTCTCTATTTCTTCTCTTGTTGGTGGTTTCAGATAAATATGTTCTACTATAATGGTTCAAAGATTACCATGCTATTAGTCAAGTAAATCCAAGAGAATCGTTACTTTTATCATCACGACAGTTGTTTAAAAATATTGCAACTAAATGCTCAATCTTTGACAAATAAGTTACTCAAACTTAAAGTCTTGACGTCAAGACTATTAGTAGTGATATGCAAAAAATTTTAGAGTGGTGCAAAGCTAATCATTTGACATTTAATTTTTCAAAAACTAAATTAATTTCTTTTAAGAATGATCTAAACAACATTACTCTGGGCAATGAAGGCATTTGTTCTGATACCGTAAACAAATTTTTAGGTCTCTATATTGATAATAAACTTAAATTTGAGCAACACACTGTATATTTAAGCAAAAAGATATCATCGGGTTGCTTTTCTGTCAAATCAGTTGCTCACCATTTAGATTTCAAGATTGCAAAAAATGTTTATATGGCCCAGATTGAATCTAATTTGAGATACGTTATTGCCTCTTGGGGTAGCTGTTCTCTTCATAATTTCAGTAGAAACTTTATGCTACAAAAGAGAGCACTCAGATATTTATGCAAGGTCAAGTTTGGTACATCATGCAAGCCTCTGTTCCGGAAACATGGTATCTTGACACTTCCTTGCGTATATATCCTTGAATTAGCGTGCTTAATTTTTAAAAAACAAAAAGAGGAAATTCGGACAGTTTGCCTTTATAATAGTCGTCTAAATTATGTTATTCCACGTCCAATTCCCTCTTCTACATTAACTAAAAAATCATTTATTTACACTGGTAAGAAAGTGTTTAATCACCTACCACTCGATATGATCCTCAAGCAATATTTTTGTATTCTGAAAAGCAATCAAGAAGTTTTTATTATCTAAATGTTACTATAGTATAGAAGAATTTTTTGAGGACAGTTGCGCTAATTGATATATATTTTTTAATTATGGAAATTTTATAATTAGTATTTTAATGTATCTTGTACCTTGTTTGTACTATACCATGTTGTGTTTTATAAATGTAATCAATCTCATTTTAAAAACAATAAACTTCACTCTCTCTCTCTCTCTCTCTCTCTCTCTCTCTCTCTCTCTCTCTCTCTCTAACATTGCAAGAAACACCTGATATAATTTGTCTATCAGAACATCAGTGTACTGAAGAAAACATCCAATTTATGACCCTGAATGGATACAACATCGCCTCTTATTTTTGTCGAAAGTTCCATAATATCCATGGAGGATCCATGATCTACATCAAAGCTGATATTAAATTCAAAACATTAGATGTCTCTAATTTAAGTGAAGAAATGGTGTGTGAAAATTTGTGTTATTAGTGTTTATTCTTCGCCATCAGGAGAATAATATATTGGAGCTATGCAGTAAGTCATATCATGATATTTATATTTGAGGGGATCTAAACATTCATTATCTTGTCATGTCTAATAATAAGCAATCTTTTAACAAGTTTTTAGTAAGTTATAATATGAGAGTCACATCTGAGGTTCCTACAAGAGTTTTCCTAGATAAAGTGGGTAAAACATCATCTACAAAATTAGACTACATATTGACAAATATCGAACCACATCTTTATAAATCAAATGTTTTCAAGGGGCACTTTAGTGACCATAAAGTGTATTCACTTAGTGTAAATTTGCAAGCCAATAAAGTATCGAAAAAAGATAAAAAAAAAACCATCAGTTACAGGGATATGTCAGATGAAAATAGGTTGATGTTTAAGCAGGGGTTTCTTTTACAGTTTTTGATAAAGTTTATTCACAATTGAATGCTGAATATGCCACAAATTCATTTGTTAGCATTTGAGATGACAATCTAAATTTATATTCTCCAATAAAAATACGGTATAAAGCATACAAAACAAATAAGGCTACATGGGTAACAAATGAGGTAAGACATGCTAGTGAAAAACTAAAAAATCTACACTGGATAGCAAAAAATAATGGGTCATGAGTCTCAAGATACGTATAAACAGGCAAGAAAAGAATATAATTCTCTATTAAGAAATACTAAAAAAAGCTTCCATAGTGACTTAATTAATCAATCATACAATATACCAAAAACAATTTGGAATTTAATAAACATTGAAACTGGTAGGCAAAAGAACAGGTCTGATATTATTCTACATTATGATAAAATTATTATCAACTCTTGTGATATTGCTAATTCGTGTGCCGTATATTTTGCTACAATTACAGAACACAATCTTCAAACTCATTTTGGCCTTCTTCTTGTACTACCTCAAAAATTTGTAACAAAACATTTTTCTTTTTACCCGTAACTCCAATTGAAATAGTAGAATAGTAGAATAGAAATAATAGAAAATACAATCGATCAACTAAAAAATAAGCCTAGTACTGGTATTGATAACATGTCTGTAAAAATAATAAAACCGATAAGTGATCGTATATCGATTCTTTTAACCCATTTAGTTAATCTCTCAGTAACAACCAGCCAATTTCCATTCATATTTTAAATGGCAAAAGTTATTCCAATCTTCACAAAGAATGACTCTCATGATATTTCAAAGTATAGACCAGTATCTGCCCTTGGCATAATTTCCAAAGTAAGAGAGAAGGTTGTATACAACAGAATGTTAAATTTTATAAAAGAATACAATTTATAACTCCAAACCAACACGACTTTAGATAAAAAAAGTCAACATTCAAGGCTGCATGCAGCTTGTTTGAGCGTATTTATGATGAATTAGATAGTAGAAACCATGTGGCAGGACTATTTTTTGATCTATCGCGAGCTTTTGGCTGCTTAGACATAACATTTATTCGCAATAAATTATATAACGTTGGTTTTAAAGGGATATTTCTAGAATGGGTAATAAATTTCTTAAGTGACAGGAAGAGTGTTGTTAAAATGAAAGAATCAAGCTCAGAACCATACACGACAAATAAAGAAGTACCACAGGGATCCGTGCTGGGACCATTATTATTCATGATTTTTATTAACGAGTTACCAGATCAATATCAATCAATCAATATCAGAATATCAATGTTTGCTGGTGATACCTCGTTAATAGTCTCTGCACGTACACTCGAGGAATTAAAAATGGCAATGAAGACTGTTGTTGACTGCTTTATACACTGGTGTAATACCAACAGACTAATATTAAACATTGACAAGACGGAAATTATTTATTTTCATTCATACAACTCATCTATTGTTCATCTTTTGTTTAAAAAAGCGTCTTTCCGAGTCTTTCAAACACCGTTTCCTGAATTTAAGTTAAACTAATAATTACCGAAATATTCTATTTGTTTATAAGTCAAAAAGTTTTTTTTTATTTAAAAAAATTATAGTAAAATTATATTCCTAATAAAATTTCAAAGCGATTAAAGTAGAGGTGTGCTTATTAGTTCTTTTAGATTAGACGAACTAGTTCAAGAGAACTATTTCACAAAAATGAACTAGTTCAGTGAACTAGTTCGCGAAAGAACTATTTGTAGGACCGAAATCGAAATCCAACCCTAACATAACTGGTTGCCAGATGTCTCGTCTCAATCATCACACAAGCTCGGCGCTGGCCGCCCGTTTTCTTTGGTTTTCAGTCAGTCTTTCACTAGTTCAGTACTCAGTAGTTCACTACCGTACAAGTAGTTCGGAACTATTTCTTTCGATCGTATGTTTAGGTTTAAATGGTTTAAATTATTATATGATTAGTTAGTTTTTATTTGCAAAAAATTATTAAGATTTGTTTTTTATTAACCGTTTTAAATATAAATATGGTTCACGTATGATTTATTTGTATATTTACGTGTATTTAAACTCATAGGTATTTATAATTAGGTTATTTCTAAAAGAACCTTTATAAAAAAAATCAGTGAATTTTCTAGGAACATTAAATAACACATTTTCATTCTCACTTTTACATAAAATTATATTTTATGTAAATGCCCCAAACATTTTAACCACAACTAAAATTTTTATTTCAAAATTACAATACAAGAAACAACACATCATGGCAACATCCAAGCCAATATATGGGCATAAGCTCCGAACCATTATGACATTAAGAAAGACTTTATGTTATTGTCACATTCATAAGAATTATGAATCTGTTATCTGAGGCTAATCGGCATTTTTTTTAAACTAGTTAGTCCATCCATTCACAAAATAATAAATATATGTTCTAATTTGTAACGACAATATTTTGCTTACCACAGGGG